TCATAAAATTCAATTTCTTTGGGGTTGTTTGCCTCAAGTATATCCTCTTTGATGAATTCTAGACATTGCCCAGTCACATCTTGCTCTTGATTCTTTGGAAAGGATTCGAAGATGCCTTTATCACCCTCTTCTTCCTTGGATTGCATGATCCTGCAAGAAATAGGGACATTCAGTGGAACGGGGTTAGAAATAATTAACCTTGGAACAACCTTACCTGAATTGGATGGCGTAGGAGCAATAGGTGCCTGCAACAAAGGTGTTTCCACCCTTGCCATAGGTTGCGTGTGTTCCTCTTCCTCAATTTGCAACCTTTCATCTTCCTTGTAATTTGATTTGGATGGTTTAGGGTCCGTTCCAACCTCCTTGCCACTTCTTAACGTGATAGCATTGGCAGTTTCAAATCCTTCCTTCGGATTTGCAATGGTTGAAATAGGGAGTTTGCCTTGGTCTTGAAATTGTCCTACGAACTCCGCTATCTGCCCAATTTGCTTCTCCAAGTTGTCCACCCTCTTATCTTGGATTTGCCTTTCTTTGTTTTGAGTTTGGACTTCCTGCGTCAAAGTAGTAAGTAATTGAAAAATCTTATCATTATCACTTGAATTACTTACATTGCTTTGGGCAGGTTGTGGTGGCTGCATAGGCGTTGTATAGAACTCCTCATATGGTTGCCAATATTCTCCTTGTTGAGCCTCCTCGACTTGGTTTTGTGAGCCCTGTACCGAAGAAATTAATTCATTAAGAGCTTGATTATAATCTATTGACAAACCTTGGTTTGGTTGGGCATATTGTATATGAGGTTGTGGTGGATGCATAGACGTTGAATAGAACTCCTCATAAGGCTGCCAATATCCTTCTTGTTGAATATGTTGAGGCTCCCACCACATAGAGTTTGAATGATCACTCCAATCCGAATTGTAAGTATTGGAAAACACGTCGTTCCTTGATTGATTATGATCAAATGTACCAACTCTTTGCGTTTGGTACTCTTCCATAAGCTGTGACAAAAGAGAAGCACTATCAAGTGCCATGTCTTGCTTCTAAAACCAACACAATAAAACTAAAAATATATACACACAAACGAAAATAAAACAATCCAAGAGATTAGCAAAGTTGCTAATCCCCGGCAACGGCACCAAAATTTGATGCGAGAATTATACGCACACAAATTAAACCCTCTTTTTGACAATTGTAGTATAAGTATAAGTAGGGATCGTTCTGGACCGCGGATTAAGAGGGATTGTTAATCACTTGGATTTGACTTCAAAAACGTAAAAACAAGTTTAAAACACTATACTAAACTCGAAGAATGCAAAACTAAAAATAAGAAAGATTAAGACTAAGACTTCAACGAAATAGGGGGGAATTGGATTTGGACGAATTTAAACTAAAATGGATAGAATGTAAAGAAAACAAATTGTAAATACGAATTTGACAGAAATGAATGGATGGGAAGCTAGCTAAGGGGTTCATCTCCACACATGTTATACTTGCATACAAAATGATTTCTAATTGCTTTTCAATAAACCATGAATTCTCAACGCCCCGGGTTAATTAGGTCCGCTTAAATTAACCGTCAAGTTTTCCTTAAGTTAATGAATTGGATGATTGCATACGACAACCCAAAGCATTCCTCACAAGTTCCCTACATGAATTGCATAATAGAGATACAAGCAAGAATCATTAAGCAACATGAAAACTATAAGTGTTGACAAGGCATTCGTTACTATGATTGCATGAAACTTATGCCAAGAATTTGTTTAACGCGATTGTTTATAAGCAACCTCCACTACTTGTGAATATAAGTTCATAACTATTACGTGAAACTCACTTATATTCTAGCGTCATATTCATGCATGAAAATTAAGCGTGAACTCTTAATAAACATACATAAATAGGTTATCAATCAAATAGTTAAACAAATTGAATTCACAACTTATGAAACGCAATTAGAAGTAATCAAATCATATTGCAAGCATAAACATATATTTCGAATCACCCCCTAGCTAAGGGGGGTTTAGTTCCTCATACGTACAAGACAAAGAGAATTGAAATTAAACATTGGAATCGAGGAAAAGCAACACCTAAAAATTCCAACAACTCAATCTTGAATTGTATGAACGTTTAGGCACTCTTTTCCTCCTCTTCGTTGTAGCATAAGGTCTAAGGGACGTTATTGGTTTGGTGTTTGTATGGAGGAATGATTGGGAAGTGTTTTGGAAGGATGGGGAGTGATGGAAATGAAGAAAATGATGCTGGAAATGAGAAGAAGGCCACGACAAAGAGAATGGAGAATGTGTTTGTGTTGTGTTGTGTATGAAGGTGAGGAATGAATTGAATGACAAATGAATGAGAATGCAAGGGTTTTTATAGGAGGAATGGAGGTGTATATGGCTGTTTGTTTAGGATGCAAGTGGCTAATTAATGATGGACAAACAGCTAGGAAAGCATGTGAAAGCTGGAATTGCATGTGAAGATGTTGGCATGTGCTGGAATGGTGTGTGAAGGCACGGCATTGAGTGTTTTCTTGCTTATTTTCTGGCTACATGATGAAAGTTTAATGAATAATGCATGTAGGTGGCTGCAATGATGAAGAATGAGAGCTGGAAATGAGAGGGAAAGCTGGAAAGTGTGTGAAGATGCTGGAATTGCATTGAAAGCCCACGGCAAGGAGTTTGGATGAGCTGGAAATGCATGTGAATGTTGAAATTGGGAGTGAAAGGCACGGCATTGATTGGGGAATGAATTATTAAATGTGCATGGCTGGAATGATGAAGAATAAAGGGTACATGTGGGTTGGAAATGATGAAGGAAATGCATGTGAAGGGTTTGGGAATGCACGGCATAGGAAGTGTGAGTGAATGATTGAATGTGCATGTGGGTGAATGCATGCGAGTTGGCTGAAATGCAAAGGGAATGCACGGCATGGGATGTTGTTGGTGTGTAAATGCATGTGTTGAATTGTGGTGCAATGATGAATGCATGTGAATAGGTTGGAAAGTGGTGGATTATGCATGGCAAGGTGTGGAGAACGAATGTGTGGCTGCATGGTTGTGCAATGATGGAGGAATAAGTGCATGTGGTTGAATTGGTGGTGAATGTGCATGGCAAAGAATGGATTTGGCTGCAATGGTGTGTAATTGGGCTAGGGTTTAAGTGCATGAAATGGACCCAAATTGCTCCCCCTTGCATGGAAAGGAATGGTGTTTGTGTTAAGCCCACGGCAAGGTGAATGTAATTGGGTTAGGGCCATTGTTTTGTGTCCTCAAGTGCATACAAGGCCTTCAATTTCATCCAACACTTGGGCTCCAAGCATAAGCTATCCATCCTTAGCCCAATAGTGCTCAAAAAGGCCCCAAAACACTCCATAATGCATCCTTTCGTCAAACACGTCTTATGATCCTGAAAACACACAAAAGAAGCATAAAGGACTAAAATAACTAAAGAAACATAACGTAAATGTACGAGAACAAGCCATTTAAGTCGCATGAATATGCTCCTATCAAAAGCCCAATGGGTTTAGGCCCAATGGGCCCAATTAAACCCGAACATTTCTTAAGCCCAAAACGATCTTTTATCGCTTTTATGATTTCTTTAGACTTTCTAAATTAATCACAACACTTAATTAATCCAATTAATTATTTACATCATCCATTAGTTACTCACTACAAGAGTGTATTGGTGAACAATCTTTTAGGTTCTAATTAGCAAGGCAGTGAGGTGATTGGCACCAATCCAATTGATTATATTTAATCCATCCACTTAGTGAATTAAAACTTACTTTTAATTCACCTTCTTCTTTGATGACTACATTTAATCATCTAGAAGAACTCACAAGCCATGAGTGACATCTAAACATATATCATGGCTACCCAAGCTAATGTAGAAGTTTATTCGGAGAACCTATTCAGTTGGAATTACAATGTAATTCGATCCTTCTTTAAAACAATACTCTCAATCACATCACTAGGGTATGGATATACTATGTCAAACCCCTAATGTGATTATGCTTTCTTATATGATTCAATTGAGTCGCATAGGAACGTTTTCCTTCATTACGCTCGAAACTTCGGCCGAAGATTCCCGAATCATATCTCAGAGTATTCTTCCTCTCATAACGAGGATTAGAGATTCCTTATTGATCATTCACATGCCTACATGTTTAGATACCTTAACCCCAACAATGCCGTGGACACTCCAATGGAATGTCGTTTGACATTATCAAAGATCAAGGACCTAACCATTAGACATCTATGATGTCTTAGGTCAAAGGATTACTTACATTATTCCAACCTTCAGAGTTACTTGCTTGACATGTGAGTAGACCTCCATGCAAGTACTCTCGTTCAATTGTGTTCAGTGAACTCATTCCCTTAATGAGCACCTACATACTTGTCTTAGTGTCACTACACGAATGGGATGAGACTTTCCATCCTTCCATTTGAAGCAGACATAGTATGTACCGGTCTATGCATTGTCAGTATCCCTCCGACAATCCTATGACCAGGAACCTTTTAGGACATAATGGTTATGAGAAGAAGGTCTCTGTAGTCTAATCATCATTAGATTACTTCTTCCATTAATCCATTGTCCATGGATTCATCATTTAGGACATATTTCGTTCATTGAGATAGTCCTAATTAGTATCTTTGCCTTCCGATGTATAAGAGTCATATATACATCATTACATTGTCCTGTAAGGTTTCTTCCAAAGATCGACTTTCAGGGCATATTTCCAACAGTCTTTGCGCAATGCATGTACCTACGTCACACAAACCCACTTTGCGCGACGCACAACCTTACGTCACGCAAACCCACTTTGTGCGGCGCATGACCCTATGTCACGTAAATTGTCTTTGCGTGACGCTCGACCCTACGTCATGCAAAGTGTCTTTGCTTGCCCTATGAAACTTCTTCGTCGCACAATTTTTTTTTTTTTTGACAAAAATATTTTTGATTTAATTTTTAATAAATATTGTAATTAAATTCTAAACAATAAATAATAAACCAAGAAAAAGTATTTAATTATAAACTATATGAAAATGTACATACAAGATGTCCGAACAAAAAAAGAAAAAACTACAATAAGTAGTCTTCTAGGTTTGATACATCAGACTATTGCATATCGGCTGGGCGAAGTGGCTGGAAGGTCGAATGTGGAGCAAGATCAGGTGCTGCCATGGGGATTTGGAGACTGGAGATCACTAAGGTCCGTACAATTATACTCATCTGGTCACCCTGGGCTCTCATTTGCTCGTACTGGGCCCTCATCTGCTCGTTTTGGGCCCTCATCTGTTCGCTCTGGGCCTTTATCTGCTCGTCCTGGGTTGCAAGCTGACCTTTTAGGGTTGTCACTTCCTCCCTCAGGGCGTTGACCTTTCCTGTTGTCGATCTGGAAGAAAAACTGCGATATCTATACACTTTTTCAACCATAAAAATATAACATTAGAAACTAATCCTTTCTTGCATTTGAAACTAATCAATTAGCATCCAAAGTACTAGCATATCCTTTCTTACTAATCTCCTTTGTTTATTTGGTAATTTAACCTAATCTCACTCTGAAAAGCCTCTAAAACATCAAGTTTTGGGGAATCAAACCCTCACTAAACACTAGAAGAATAGAAAGAATACAAAACTCACAAACTCCAATACTTTTTCTGTTACTATTGTATCGTTGACTCATATTATAACACATGTATCTAATCATTACACATCATATTCCATAGAAAAATGTTAAGGACTCTCTCAAAAGTGAGACTCTTCATGGACTCTTTTCTACTTCATGATAGGAGCATATTTATGCGACTTAATTGGCTTGTTCTCGTGCATTTACGTTGTGTTTCTTTAGTTATTTTAGTCCTTTATGCCATTTTCGTGTGTTTCTAGGTTCATATGGCTAAGGAAGCAAAAAGGTGCATTTTGGAGCATTTTGGAGCAAAATTGGGCTTGGAATGGATAGCTTACGTTTGGAGCAAAAAGAATGGACGAAATTGAAGAGGATTCCTAATCAAATGAGGAATCTTAGTCAAAGAGGAGGAGAAGAGGGCCTAAACATTCATACAATTCAAGTTTGAGTTGTTGGAATTTTTAGGTGTTTTCTCTCCTTGATTTCAATGATTAAATTTACTTATCTTTGTCTTGTACGTATGAGGAACTAAACCCCCCTTGGCTAGGGGGGAATTCAAAACCATGATCATGCTTGCTATATGATTTGATTACATCTAATTGCGTTTCATAAGTTGTGAATTCAATTTACTTATCTATTTGAATTAAATTGATTTGTGTGTGTTGGTTGAGAGTGCACGCTTAATTATCATGCATAAATCTAATGCTAGGATAGAAGGAAGTTTCTCCTAATCGTTACAAACTTATATTCACAAGTAGTAAAAGTTGATGACCTCAATTGCGTTAAGTAAATTCTTGGCATAAATTTCATGCAATTCATAGTAACGAATGCTTTGTCAATGCTTATGGTTTTCAAAGAACTTAATGATTCTTGCTTGTATCTCTATTATGCAATTCATGTAGGGAACTTGTGGGGAATGCTTTGGGTTGTCGTATGCAATCATCCAATTCAATAACGTTAGGAAAATCTGAGGGTTAATTAGTGCAATTCACGGTTAATCTAGGGCGTTGAGAATTCATGGGTTATTGAAAAGCAATTAGAAATCGTTTTGTGTGCAAGTATGGCATGTGTGGAGATGAACCCCTTAGCTAGCTTCCATTCCATTCATTGAATCCAAATTCGTTTTAAAATCTGTTTGTTTTACAAAGTTTTAAGTTTTGTATTTAATTTCGTCCAAACACAATCCCCCCCCCCCATATTTTGTTTAGTCTTAGTCATTACAATCTATCTTATTTTGTGTTTTTAAGTATTTGGAGTCTTGTGGACTTGTTTTGAGTTTTCGTTAAGTGAGTTAAGTGTTTTAAAAGATTAGTTTAATTTATTTAAGTCAAGTGTTTAGCACCTGATAGGAGCATATTTATGCGCCTTAGTTTGCTTGTTTTCCTGCATTTACGTTGTGTTTCTTTAGTTATTATAGTGTTTAAAGTTATTTTCGTGCAATTTCAGGTTTTAGTGTCAAAGTATGCAAAAAGAAGCAATTTGGAGCATTCTAGAGCATTTTTGGGCCAAGATTGGATAGTGCAAGCATGGAGGCATGAGGATGGACAAATTTGAAAGGCTTGAATTCAGTTAGGGAGTTGCAAGGGGGCCTAAAAACCTGATTTCTAGAAGGCTACATTGCAGCCACATGCACTTCCATCCTTTAAGCCATTCCACATGCAATTCCAACCTAATCCACATGCATTCATCATCATAACCTAGCTGTCATTCCACCTTTATGCATTCATCATCATAACCTAGTTGTCATTCCACCTTTGTGCCATGACTTCCCCTTCATTCCAGCCATTCCACATGCATTTCCAACCCACATGCCCCTTTAATCATTCAAACATGCACCCTTTATTCTTTCATCATTCCAGCCACTCCACATTCATCACCAACACAATCATCAACAAAAGACCCATTCCTAGCTGTTTTGCACATGCATTCCCTTAATTATTTCAACCACATGCACCCATAATCATTCACACCTTGCAGCCACATGCACATTCACCCCTTTCTCTCCCTATAAAACCATGCAATGCATTCATACAAAGGATTCCCATTCATACACAATTCACACACCAGAAATTCATTGTTGTGTCTCCCTTACAATCCAAACACCATCCTTCCATTTCCACCACTCCCCAAACCATTCACACCATCAAACTATCCTTAGACCTTGTGCCACAATAAAGAGGAAGAGAAGAGGGCCTAAACGTTCATACAATTCAAGTTTGAGTTGTTGGAATGTTTAGGTGTTTCTTTGATTTCAATGTTTAATTTCAATTCTCTTTGTTTTGTACGTATGAGGAACTAAACCCCCCCTTGGCTAGGGGGGGATTCAAAATATATGTTTATGTTTGCAATATGATTTGATTACTTCTAATTGCGTTTCATAAGTTGTGAATTCAATTTGTTTAACTGTTTGATTGATAACTTATTTATGTATGTTTATTGAGAGTGCACGCTTAATTTTCATGCATGAATATGACGCTAGAATATAAGTGAGTTTCACCTAATAGTTATGAACTTATATTCACAAGTAGTGGAGGTTGCTTATAAACAATCGCGTTAAATGAATTCTTGGCAAGAGTATCATGCATTCATAGTTACAATTGCCTCGTCAACACTTATAATTTTCATAGAACATAATGATCTCTCATTGTATCTCTTCTATGCATTCATGTTGAGAACCATTGGAGAATGATTTGAATTGTCACATGCATCTTCCAATTCAATAACATAAGCAAAATTTGAGAGTTAATTAGTGCATCACGGTTAACTTGGGGTGTTGAGCATCATGGTTTATTGAAAAGCAATTGGAAATCGTTTTATATGCAAGTGTAACATGTGTGGAGATGAACCCCTTAGCTAGCCATCCCATCCATTCTATTCCATCAAATTCGTTTTACAATCTGTTTTGTTTCCAAGTTTCTGTTTTAATTTCAAATTCATCCAAAACCAATCCCCCTTTACTTTATTGTCCAAATTAGTTAGAAAGTGTCTTAGTTTGTGTTTTTAAGTGTTTTGATTCAATTTGTTGCACAAATTCGTCCAAATTCACCAAGGTGCTCAAAACTGCCCAGAAAGTGTTTTTAAGGCAGTTTTGAGTGTTATAGGTGATGTTTGAGTCTTTTGGTTTGTTTTAGTGTTTTAAGCGTTTAGTTTCGCATTCTTTGAGTCTAGTTTAGTGTTTTAAACTTTATTTTACGTTTTTGAGTCAGTTTCCAAGTGATTTGCAATCCCTCCTAATCCCCGGTTAAGAACGATCCCTACTTACATACTTACTACAATTTATAAAAAGAGGGTTTAATTTGTGCGCGTATAATTCTCGCATCAAATTTTGGCGCCGTTGCCGGGGATTAGCAAATTTGCTAATCCCTTGGATTGTTCGTTTCTGTTATGTATTTTAGTTTTAGTTTTTTTTATTTGTATTTTGTTTGTTGAATTCAAGTACTAGAGAAGCACAACATGGCACTTGATAATGCTTCTCTATTGTCACAGCTCATGGAAAGGTCCCAAATGCAAAGCGTTGATATATTTGATCTTCAATCAAGGAATAACGTGTTTTCCAATACTTACAATTCAGATTGGAGTGATCATTCAAACTCTATATGGTGGGAACCTCAACATGTTCAAGAAGAACGATATTGGCAGCCATATGAGGAGTTCTATTCAAAACCTATGCACCCACCACAACCTCATATTCAATATGCCCAACCAAACTCAAGTTCGTCAATAGATTATAATCAAAAGCTTAATGAATTAATTTTTTTGGTGCAGGGCTCACAAAATCAAGCCAATGAGGCTCAACAAGGAGAATATTGGTAGCCATATGAGGAGTTCTATTCAACGCCTATGCAGCCACCATAACCTACCCAAAGCAATGAAATCCAAACTCAAGAAAAATCAATGCAAAATCAAGACAAAAGGTTGGACCACTTGGAAAAGCAAATTGGGCAGATAGCGGAGTTTGTAGGACAATTTTGCGACCAAGGCAAAATCCCTAATTCAACCATTGTAAATCCGAAGGAAGGAGTTGAAACCACCAAAGCTATCATGTTAAGAAGTGGCAAGGAGGTTGGAACGGACCCTCAACCATCAAAATCAAATCACGAGGAAGAGACCCAAGCCACGGCTAGGGTGGAAACACCTTTGCCGGAGGCACCTATTGCTCCTACGCCATCTAATTCAAGTAAGGTTGTTCCAAATTTAATTAGTGGTAACCCCATTCCACCTAATGTCCCTATTTCTTGCAGATTCATGACTTCCAAGGAAGAAGAAAGTGAAAAAGACATCTTGGAAGGCCTTCCAAAGGTGCAAAGCATGGAATATCAAGAATTCATCAAAGAGGACGTTCTTGAGATAAACAACCCCAAAGAAGTTGAATTTTATGACAAAGGACAAGGAACAATCCTCACACATAGTCTGTCCAAGGGCAAGGTTCCTGAAATATTCAAAGAAGATGTGTTTATTCTTGAGTTCATTTCGGAGCACACAGGTAAGCCGCCTCCCCAAATTTCAATTTTCTTTTATACTAATATGTTGTTAATGATTCAGGCATCCACTCTAGAATTTAAACCATTAACGGATCATCTCAAGTATCACCTCCCATTCAAAGATCAATTTCATGCCGTGCAATAAAAAAAAAAAAAATGTGTATGAATGGATGGAGCCTTCACAAAGGATGTTTACATTAAGCCCCACTACGAGGCATCGGAGCAGGAGGCATCGGAGCGAAAGGCATTAGAGCAGGAGGCATCGGAGATAGAGCATTCGAGGCCTCAATACTTGGCGGAACGCTGGATGACC